GGAACCCTCTGCGGGTGCACCGTCCGCCAACCACGATCTGCTGTGAGAGGTTTGAGTGTGAGCATGCCCGTTGGGACCCGAAAGATGGTGAACTATGCCTGAGCAGGGCGGGAGTGCTCGTGCAAAGCTATTTAAGATCTGGGCAGGAGTCAATCCATGATCAGGGCATTGCAACAGTTCATCCATACTTGACTTCAGGGCGAAGGTGCTTTTCCATTTCCTATCAGGGAGATGGAGGATTAGCATTTCCGTACGTCGTGCTAAATTCTTGTCCTCAAATCTTTCTCTAACCCATTTCAAAAAATCTTCGATTCGCGTTTGCTGCGAATACTCTACCATCGAGTTGCATCCCGCCTCCTTTTGCAGCGAGATGGCGAAGCTCATGGCATCGCCTCCCATGCATAAACTTGCCATTAGCACCCTGTCCCAGTATGGGATTCGTTGCCCATATACGTAGGGTTTCTACTACCGCTGCCCAATGCAAAACACTCTCTTCCTTCTTTCCATTATAAGTCCATGACAGTTTAGTTTTATATTATTAACCTGTCCGGTTTCCTGTGGAAGTTTCTCCTTCGGATCCCCTCTTCTTTTCCCCTTCTTATCGTCATCGCCATCGTCATCATCATCTTCTCCTCCGCCTCCAGCTCCCTTAACAATCTTCTCTATAACCTCCGACGTGAAGGTCTTAGTGACATGGTCGTCCAAGGCCCTGATGTATGTTTGCACATGCTGGTCAACATCTTTGGCTGACTTTTCCAAAAAGTTATTCCAAACATTTTCGAACTCAACCCGATGCGTCTCTACTCATTATAATGTCTGACGCATTGAGGCCATGTCCTGCCTTGTGTGGAGAACAGCCTCTCTGAGTAAAGCAAGTTGTTCTTCTGTCGCAGAGGGTTTTTCTTTTTGTGCTTTTAAAGCCTTCTACAATTTTTTCCCTTCTGCCTGCAGTTTCTTTTTTTCTTCTACTTCTTGCCGTCTAGCTGCTAACAACCTGCTATTCAATTCAGCCCTTTTTTCCTCCATCATCAGATTGCGTTCGACTGCGTCAATTACACGGACAAACTTTGCGATGAACGCATCCCGTTCTTTGTCAGACTCTTTCAATGGTTCGCTGGAGTAGTAGTACCGACCAGCCCAATCCAACGGCTCAACGGAAAGCCGGTCTGTTGTACTACTCTCAAGTATATCCTGGTGACGATGTCTTTGCAATGCTTCTCTTCCATCCTATTCTTCTTCTTCTTCTTCTTCTTCTCGTATACTCCTCAACTCTTCTTCTAACTCCTTGTCCATCTTTTCTTTCATCTTTCTCTTTGCGTCTTCTTCTTTCTGTTTCTTCTTGGCTTCCTTTTCTTTCTTTTTCTCTGCCAGCCTGCGTTCAATCTCTGCCTGTTCCGCAGGTGTGGGCCCCGGCTTTGCTGCTCCAGACCGCATTAACATGCGGGACGTACACATGCGTCTGAACCCCAATGGGAACATAAACCTGAACAGCGGCCCCAACAAGACAGAAAGGGCCAACAGGCCCTGGATGGGATAGTCATCCATGATGACGACCGGCACAGGGGGTCCTCCGCCGGAACACCACAGCACTATCCCACTCCGGACTCAATCTTGACTTGCGGTGAATGGAGTACAACACCTTTTTTGTGTGTGTTGACTGTAGAAGGTGTTGCGCACACTTAATCAACCAGGCAGAAATATTTTACTCCGTTTTTCTTTCTTTCGGGCTTAACTGGCCCTGTAAATGCTCATCATCATGTTTGCGCTGCCTGGTACTTGCAGTCTAACATGGCATATAGCCACTTCCCACATCAATTCTTAGTCCCTGATAACGGTACACAGCCTGCCTAACAAGAGGGGTAGGAGAGAAATCTATTCCTACTCGCAGAACACTGGACCACCTAATCTAGTGTGACCAGGCCCTGACACATTGCATTCGGATCATCCAGACCCTGACCCACTACGATGATCCAGATCCAGTCCTGACTTCCAGTCCAGCAGCAGTCACCTTTAGAGGGTCAGAGAGAGAGAAGGTAGGGGACACACACATACATGCAGGTTCAGGGAAAGGAGGTGCTTCTCTGTTCTTGAAGATACCGCCGATGATGCTCCACGACGCTCCGCACGCTCCAGGTAAGTAACTCTCACCTCTTCTTCTTCGGCCTGCTTCCCCCACTATCGAACATTTCTTCTCCTCCTTGCTCCTTCACTACTCCACCATCACCACTACTCCCCCATCACCACATCTTCTCGCCGGCCTTGATCATGCCAGCGCTATGAGTGCAGCGAGCATCTGCTCCGATACCAAATTTGCATGGGTCCTGAAGACCGTCTCACGCAAGTGTGTACATGTCACGCATCATCCTTGCACACAATGACCACGAGCCTCACACATTAGACAAAGGTAGATGAGAAGAGAACTGAGTTGCACAACTTATATTATTGAATATATGATTACAAAGAGTTTCAATGCTCCCTGGGTCCAGCGCTCTTCAGCGCAATGCCAATCCAACATCAACTCATCTCTGTGACTTCCATACATCAGCGCTACTTCTGCAGATTGTATCCTGGTCATCAATGTGGTCACTACTCATCAGTGCCACCTCTGCAGCTCATGTTCCACTCAGGTAAGTATCCTTCATAGCCAAACATTGATTGAGCACTCTCTCTGTCTCGGTCCCTTCCTCCTACGATGCAYACACACTSTTCACKCACAAGGATCTACTCYGAATGCTACTCATAGCTAACTACTAACCCTCTACTCTACCACTAACTYGCTGGGCAGCTATGGCTGCATCCTTCCAGCGCACAGTTCTTGTCTAGCGCATCTTCTCCTCCAGCGCTGCTCCTACTGACTGGMGCACAAGCACAACAGCACTTCCACACATTGAAGCCAGTGGAGATCTGGCGAGGAATGAGGCTGGCTGCTTCTTTTATAATGCTGGCCTCTCCTCGCTGGGTCTGCATTTGGCTGCTTCAGCCTTCCTTTGTCCCAGACCCTGCATTGCATGTGTCCCAGTACAGTCCCAATGAAGTCAACTGCTGCTGAGGCCTCTCGGCCTGGATTTGGACTTTGGATGTCTGGATCTGGACTGTCCCCTTGACTTAGACCAGAACTGGGACTTTACCTMTTGACTCACTTTCGGACAGGCACAACTTYAAACGAACAGACACAYKCACTGCYTGAACAGACACTCACATTGTGCGAATAGACACTTCCTTTTGCAWGAACAGACAGACTGACTGCACGTACAGAYACACCAATATCTGAACAGACATGACATGTATACCTCCTGACGAGCAGGTATGTCCCTTGGCAATGACCTTTGCTTTAGGTTAGGATGTGCCTTTTGATATAGAACTGGACCTTTGACCTGCTTTCACGTTTCTGGTCCTGGCGAGATACCCTTTCACGATGCTTTACTTTTACAAGGCCTGTATCGGGTAAAGACCCTTTTACCAGGGATCAACAAATCTCCTGTCCACTGTCCACATGTAACTGCAGCAAGATGTGCAATCCCTCGTTTCCTTGCAACAGGATGATTGGAAAAGAGACGACAACATGAAAAGCTCCAACATTGACTCCAACTTCACCCATCACGAGGAAATAGATGGCACAAATAGCAGAGACCCTCAGGCAAGAGCCCAAAGCAGAGCATTAGAAACAAGTAGAGAATCGTTCATAGAAGGCTACTGGGCATAAATCCGGACTGTTTCATACCAAGAAGAGAGCAGTGAATAATACTCCGGCCTGTCCTAGATTACCCATGTATCCAGTCCCATTCGTAAAAGCAACCACACATGTGAACTCCCAACCAAGGAGAGAGGATAAATGCCAAAGACCTCAACACAGTTGTGGTTTCCACCACAGAACAAGGGTAACTACTCACCCCGGCATCGGTTGTCATGATTGTTTGAAGGAGGAACAGAAAGTCTGGCCTATATCCAATCTATACAAGATGCATCACACCATACAAACGAGGGAAAACAGGGAAAGCAACATCAGTGGCTTCCAACATATCCAATATATACAAGATGCGTCACACCATACAAACGAAGGAAAACAGGGAAAGCAACATCAGTGGCTTCCAACATCATCCATCATAACAACAGCAGGCAGTGCAACTTCACCTTCTTGGATTTGCACGCATACTGTCACTGGAAGGACATGCACTCGCCCACACATTCATGACCATGCTTCAGTACATATAGCAATTAATCATGGCTGACACCTCTGGGCCTTAAAGCTGCAAACCACCACCTACGATATGCAGAGCATCCTTCCTTTCCAGGTTCACAACAGACTGATTCAAGTATCTAACGACATAGTCCTCATTCCTATATTTTCACCACCTTTCTTTCCACAAAATTAAGTCCAAAATGCACTGCGCACTTCACAATCCAACAACACTAGGAGATAGGCATGAGCAGTGTTTTGCATCACATACATCGACGGCATGATAGACAGGACGTCAACCGGTCGCATGCAACACAATCGCTTGTTCAATGCCAAACCAAGGCATGCTTTTGGCACATTAACCCTCGTCTCCCTCATTGCTAGCAACTTCCGTGTTCACAGTAAGATCACGAGAATCAAGTTTAGATAAAACCCAGTCCCTCCTAGGCTCCTACAGCAATCATGGCAGCCTCAACCAATCCTAGGCTGATCAACTGGGTAGCAAAAAAGAACTAAGACGCATCCATCTTGGGAGCACACTCATGCTCTATTCTGCCTGCAGACGTTTGCAATTTCAATGCCAAACCAAGTTGCTAGCAACTTCCATGTTCACAGTGAGATCGCGAGAATCGACTTTAGATAAAACCCAGTCCCTCCTAGGCTCCTACAGCAGTCAGGGCAGCCTCAACCAATCCTAGGCTGATACTGGATAGCAGAAAAGAACTAAGACGCGTCCATCTTGGGAGCACAGTCATGCTCTATTCTGCCTGCAGACATTTGCTGGAGGACGGCTCTGGAACACGACAGCACTTCTCCAACATTAGCAGTATTATATACAATGCCGAATGCAAGTCTCCAAGACTCTAAGCATGATAGGAAATGCTTCTCAAACATCTCTTTAAGTGAGGATGGGACCAAGACAAGTCTATACATAGGGACAGAAGTCACTCAAAAGCCATAAATAGTAAATACACAGCCCCAAACTATTGACCTCGGTTTCTGGCTGCAACATCAATGTGTGACAAAACCATGCTCGGAACGAAGAGAAAATATATGAAAAGGGGCAAAACATGAAGAGTGCAGCAGAAAAGGCCACAGGTGACAGAACCCAGCCCTAAACCTGACAAAAGTTGCATGTTCAATCTGTGAGACACACACACCCACTGCCACACACACACACAAGCACACATACAAGTGAATACCCAAGGAGTCATACACAAACACCCCCACATAGCATACACAACACAAACACACAAACAAAAAGGTTATTATGCCCCTTGCCGTGCAACTTCAGGTACACATAGCAGCACCGACAGAAACTTCTCCTGATGCCACAATTATTTCAGTGCCATATCAAAGCAGGCACTTACTCTTCGCGAGTTACAGATCCTCGAAGTTTAGTCAATCATCCATCAGTGACCTTTCACCCTCCTGAACTCTACTTACTTTAGGCCCGTTCAGTCCATTAGACCAGAAAATCCAATTGAAAGCCTCTGCCGAGTAGCAGACATGGCTTCTCCTATTGATGACTCTTTTGCGAGGATTTGGCTTCTCGGCAGGCCTGAGGGGCCCCTGATACAGATGTGCCCGCCCTAAGTGAAGGCGGGCCTAACAAATCACGAGAGGCCCAATGCTGCCAATTTCGTTTTTGGGGTCCAGCAGTTGTGTCGCGTCAGTTGGTTGAGGGAACCCAGGCCCGAACAGCAAAGGCCTTTTCTACAATGCAGGCCGCGATCGAGCAAACGCCCTTGGCTGACTGTCGTCGGCCTCCAATGAACGTCGACATGTCGGCTTCGATCCTTCCTGGCACGACGTGTCTTTTTGAGTTTGTTTTCTAATCAGCGAACGCCCTTCCTTGCGCCTTTTCCTCTCCCGCATCATGACGAACCAGAAGAATCATCAGATTTCTGCACAAGCTCTTAGAGGTGGTCTTATCACCGAGGTGTTCCCCGTCTCCTGGAACACGAACCTTCCGCTAAAACATGGAAATATATTCACGCAAGTGAGTAGATTTCAATTGTTTTCACTTTTCCTAAGTTCCTGATGCTCGAAAGCATTAGAAACACCCATCGAGACAATGCATTGAAAGTGCGGCTGTCGATGATCTCGAAACGGTTTGCTCGAATCCACTCGAGGAACTCGATGTCATCGAAAGGGCCTATGCTTGCTGACTGGACAAGGTGCGACTGGGAGTTCAAGAAGGAAGCTTGGCGGTATTGCATTGCCTGAGGATCGGTAGTGCTGCAGCAGGATGATGGGCAGTGAGTCCGCATGGTCTACATGGGGCTACCTGTTTTGTTTTGTTTTGTTTGTTGGGGGTAAAGATGACGGCGCACAGCCGCCCTGGGCAGGAATCGCAGCAACATACACAGACAGTTGGGGAGCCTAACCAAACGAGGCCCAGCAGCTGCAGCAGAGGCACTTCTGGGCACAGGCCCAGCCCAGTCAGGCCGCCGGAGCAGGCATACACTTTCCATACAGGAAAGAGCTCGCTGCCTGGAGGATCATTCGGGCACTTGCAAGCTAGCGGCAGCGCTGCTGGCGCGGAGTCTCGCGGGCTGCTGATTGCGCGAAGGCAAGGTGCTGCACACGTGCGGTCGTGTACGAGGAAGGACACTGCTGAGGGCAGCGCCATAGTCCAGCCTTCATAGCTGGCTGGGGCTTGGATGTACAGCATTGCGCAGGGTGGTCTTCGGGTCTACAGAGGGAAGACGTGGGTGAAAGTCGAAGGAGAGAGAGAAGGATGATGATGATGATGTGAGGGCACATACCTGGTATTCGCGATGGTCTGCATTGGTCGACATCTTCAAGTAATTCGTTGCTGCTGACATCAACAGTTGCATTGTCAATTACTAGACAGATAGTAGCTGTGTAGGGAGTAAGGCTGGGTGCCGAGCGCCAAGTAGGGAGAAGGGCCTGGATACTTATGTTGGTGATGGTGAGAGCAAGCTCTCATTGACATTCGGTTTTCAGTGTTACAATTCTCCATTGGTGTTATATAGGTGCAGTGGTGATTTCTGGACACCCTGATACTTTCTGGATCTCAATGTGATTGTGCAATCTGGATTTCGTCACCTCGCTTTTGCTCAGTTTCCTTGCAATTTGGTATTGGAGCTGGTTCGAACTGCGTTTTAGTGGTTCTTCAGAATAGCTGTTCGGTGCTTCGCATGAGGTGTGGGGCAGTGATAAGGCTTGGGCGTTGAACATAGGCGGCCCAGGGTCATGTGGGCGCGCCAGGAAGGCTACGTGGTTACATTGGGGTGTACGCCGGATGATGAGAGCTCGCAAATGTGGCATTTAAGCCGAGGTGGAACTGCATTTCGCTGTTTGCTGTGCTGAGGCAAAGACCGGTCATCATAAACGCACGTGTGGTTGGGGCCAGGCATTATAAGGTACGTTGCTATCTTCCTTATCTACCCTCTTCATTACTTCTTGCCGTGAGGAAGCAAGTTCTGTCTTGAGAGTTAGTGTCGCAAGCACTCAACCTTGAGAGTCGGCATTCTTCCTGGGCAGCAAGCTGGTGGGAGACGGGCGAAGCCTCTGAAGGGCCCTCGACGAAGCACTCGGGTCACGGTCACCATGCCAACCCGCCGGGACTGCTGCTGCGCAATAGAGGTCATGTTGGGCATGCTAGCCTTCAAGAGACACTCACCATACCGTCTATAAACATTTCTGGCGGGTTCCGGATTTGAACCCTGGCTGTGATCGTCGTCCTGTCTGCGATAATTCCTCAGGACCTCTGGGGCTGTCCTTAAACTGCCTCTTGATCAGCCAGATCAAACCAGAAGTAAGGCTCGTTGCATGCGAGGGTAAACAAAGTGCAGGGGCTGGCAGGCTTAGCATAGTCTTGGGGCACAGGGGTGGGCCGGATTGCACACCTTCAGACACACTGCTCAACCAGCTGCTCAGGGCATTGACACAAAGACCCCATTCAAGAGGGATACAGGTTGAGGGGGAGATTTTGGTAATTGTTTGCTGTGGTACTGAATAGATAAACTGCCATCCAGCATACATCTCCACAGGTGCACTATTTTTATTTTTGATTATTCAGTTGTACAGACTTGGTGACAACTGACAGAGAGCTGCAGATAGGATAGTATCTTCCTTGCTGCATTGCATTCTGTGTTAGGATAATCTAAAAATTTGTAGGATCTGACATTAGTTGCTGTTGACCACTTGACTACTACTCTCCAAGCTGACCGAAAGTAGTTGAATATCATAACTCGGTTGGGTGTCATGCTGAGGTAGGATTCAGTGTGGATTCTAGTTTAGACCACACACCACTGTAGCTCACGAGTCATGCAAGCAGTAGTGAGGAGGAGGAACGATTAGTGGAACCTTTTAGAGTTACCCGTAGAACTGCCCTCAGTCAACCGATCACTTTCCCGAAGTTAGGTCCAGGATAGGAAAGGACACTGCGGAGGGAAGCTAGGGAGAGGGCGGCATTAAGGAGATCAAGGTTAGCAGCAGCCAGCTTTGAGGCTGCAATGGCTACCCCCTCCATGTCACAGGCCTCGTCCGAGGCCTCTTCGCCAGGGGTTAGTCAAGGTGTTTCTCAGGTTTCCGTTAGTCAGACTGCTGGATTGCAAGTCAGCCAGCAGACTCAACTCATGGCGGAGGATTATGAGATTCTCCAAGCGGAAGCCCTTCATGATGAGCTGCAGCACCAGTTGAGAGAAGCAGCAGAGAGAAGACAAGCGATAATGAGAAAAGCTAGATTAGGACTAGAAAAGTTAGAAGCACTAGATGAGTTAATATTAGATCCTGCAATAG